AAAACCATACAACTTGTATCACTCTTATGTTATCACAACAGCCACACAACACATGGGTGCATTTGTGTGTGCGTGTATGTGTGTTTTAATGAGTGAATCAGGCCTTTAATGTTAAAGTCCTGTAAGTGGTCAGCCAGATTTGAATACTACAACATAAACACAGATCATCCCAATGTTACACAGTGCAAGAACTGCAAACACTGAGATCAAATGGCCACTTGATAAGAGCTGAAACATGAAGATTAGAGAAAATGTGATGGAAATCACTGCCAAATAACAATGAGAGAAGTTTCTTGTTTTGTCCTAAACAGGAATTTGTTGATTCACTACTTGGTAGATGGACTTTTCTTATCCATCTAACAAAAAAAACTGGCTCTGATGAGAAGAATGCTACTTTTTTTAATTTACAGGAGGATATGACTGGGCAGTGCACTGGACGTATGTATTTAGGGAAAGTGAAAGACATCTGAAAGACATTCAAATGTAGGCATAGCAATACATGCCTTGTCTTTTTCAGTAACATCAAACTTAGTTGGTCTCTGTTTTGATGTCTGATGTCTGATCTGTTTTTCCAGTCTTAATCTTCCATAGCTATGCTGCTCTGAACATGGGGCTTGTCTTGAGGAAATGAAGATGAAAATGAGGAGAGATTGTTCACTGACTGTAAGGTTTTCTGTGGGCTTCCAGTTGTCTCGGCTGCTTTTCTTTGCCATTCTTGTGCACACAGCCAGTCACTGAGTGAAAGATCTCACTGACATCCACAACATCGATTCTACAATCTCAGGAAAAACTACACGGATTGACTCCAATAATGGTGAAAGTGCTCATGTCAAAAATGCTAAATATAATTCAGCAATTATTATCAATTTAGCATAGTGGCAAAGCACAATGGATTTATAGTCTACGATGGAGCAGGAGCACATAAATGTTTGTGGTATTTCTTCTGCTCATGATTCTGGACATTTTTCCTTGGCTGCTAGATTATTTTCAAATGCCTGTAGACGAGTGGAGTGTGTTGTTTTTGAATCGCTTGTCTGAAAAAGTCTTGGCTTTGAAAGCAGCACAGAGTGGTCATGAGATAAGAAGTCCAACATTATGAAGCTAAAGTTGTCCCCAGCAGTGGGTAATGTGTTATTTAGAAGATAGCACATCTGTCAATCTTGCATGTCACCAATGGCCACGTCGCCATTTCTCTGCCTTTAAGGATGTGTGTGCTTTTTTTTGGTCTTTTGCACACTTAAAAGCATGTTTATGCACACACACATCAGGCATATGTGCTGTCGCACTAAAAGAAAGCTGGAAAGGACAAAATGAGACAAATCAAAATGTCAAGCTGGAGGGTCATAATGAAACATGGCAGGAAATACTGTCTCTTTAGCACAGACAGGCACAGACACCATGATTTTAATAAATGGGTTCTCTGACCCTGAAGAAATATTCATCCTTAGACAAGATGACATTTCATCTTCCTGCAGGTTGTCATGACACAAATGACATTCTATGACATTAACATTCTCCTTTTAAATGTTTCAATTTCAAACATGCAGGTCAGAAATACCACCCTCAAAATCAACCCTGCATCAGCACTGATGGCTTATTCAGGAAGATCCTCCTCAGTCTGCTTTCTATGTCAGACTGTATTTGTGCGATAAGATCCTCGATAAAAAAAGAAACATGCATATCAACTTACATTTAAAACTAATGTAGATGATTAAAGTTGAGGAATGTGTTTGATACCCGCTGACATATTAGCCCACCTGGACTGACTCACATCCTCACAACTTGCTCTCAAATGACATCACCTCTGAAATCTTCTAACTAATATATCTTTACCGTGAATTAGATAGATTGATTTGCATATAAGTGAGCTACATAGCTGCTAACCCTCAAGCCAAAGGCGTAGTGTATCCTTGTTGATGTGTGACTGCTGTATGAATTTATGCTAATGGGAAACACCAGTGAAATGCTCTGCAGATCCTAGCAATTATGTCAAATATACCGTAACATATGTTAGTAATTATATTGCTTTGTTGTATTTCTAGAAATGCGTCTAATCTCTTAGTGCCCTGAGGTTGTTTTTTATTTTTTGGGCTGCTTGATGATGGTTACTCTGAAGGGGCCACAGTGTTTTTTTTATTGTAGTTTAGTTATGAAGCTGTTTATTTTGTAAGAAAAATATCTGCAAAGTTGTCAGATCTTCAGGGTATTCCAATGACAGAAAATCCTGTCTCTGAACCGCCTTGAACAAGGCAGGGATTGTTATAATATGTGTCCCTAATAACAGGGGCTCTCAAGTTTCTTTCTTTAAGGAAGACTCTGTGTAAAAGCTGTATTTATTACATTGTTGATTGTTGTCTCTTACTTGTTCATGCTGTTTTTGTCTAGTTTGCTATCCCATTCAATCACCTGCAGGGGAAAAATGGCTGCTTCTGCTGCTTATGTCTCTGTTCAAGGTTGCTTCTTGCTGAAAATATTTTTGGAGGATTCACTACAGTGCAAAACCATTTGGGAATGAAATGCCTCATTTAATGTCACCACATCTCGCCATACCACTTTATTCATGCAACACCTCTGAAACAAAAACAATGCTAACCAAAGTACAGCACAGAAAAACAAAAAACGGTTTTAAAAAAGCATTAAATGAAAGAAACAGAGAAGGGGAATCAGCTTTTCCTGTCAGGCCGTTAGCAGGGCGGAAACAGATGTGGAACAATGGTTTATTTCTGGCAGAAGGTAAAAAGATGTGCGCCAGTAATGTCACATTTGAGAAAAGCTTGTGTTTATGGGCATAATTCTTAACTACTTAACCTGCGGGATACATAAGTACACTGGACACTTTTTAATTATGAGGTGGGGCCTTTAATTGAATTCTTTTCTTAGTCGCTTACACCAAAATTCTGACAGCCTTCATTGTAGTGGCTTAAAAGCTCATTTCATCAACCTGTTTCCCTACTTAAGCCATCCACATTGTTTGTCACCGTATCACATTTGACAGGCTTGTTTTGTTGTGCCCCTCCCTCTTGTTAATAAGGATATGACTTGTATCCAAGGAGCAGCTAGTGCCATGTAGAATGCAAGTCCGCTGTTATTTCCTGAGCAGTGAGCAGCACTGATAAACAGCAGTGATTTGTTCAGCATTTGACAGTTTGCTTATTTCCCTTTTCCTCTGAGAGCCCCTCATCAACTAATTTCAACATGGCAGCCTCAGAAGCACAGGTCTTTGGGGAAATGTCATTTTTAATTAAATCCCAGGTCCTTTAAGATAAGCAGTTAGGCGTTAATTTCACCCAGGGCGTGACGTTGTCAGGAGCCCAGGAGCATGACGTATGTCTGTCAAGATAAATCATCCTGCAAAAGATACCCTGTTTTTTTTTTCTGCCTCTCCTATTGCATGCAGAAGGAATCCCTAACTGCCCCTCTAATAAAGACCACCAAATGAATAAGCCCTTTGTGCTTTATTCCTCTGACTTGCTGGCTTTAGCCTTTTACATTTCAGCAGGATGTTTTGTTATGTTTTATATGATTAGGAGACATCTATTAGCAATTTTCCATGTTGATAGTGAGTAGATATGGTGTCTCATATTCATCATCATGTAAGTTTTTGTGCCAGAAATATGACTATTTAGGCTTTTTAGTCAAATTAATCTTTTATGTACAGTATAATTCAGTAAACAATGAACAAATGAAGTTACACACTAAATGATAAACATACTGAAGGATTCAGGAGATCGAATGTTGTTTTTGAGGATCTAAAGGGACCAAAATGGAGATTAAATGAAAGCCAGTACAAAACATACAGTCCAATACCCAAAGCCTGTTCGATTGGATTTTAGGTGAAACTACTTGCCTATCAACCTAAGTCTTCTAAAGAAGAAACGTGTGTTTCCTTCTGAGCATGGCGTTGTCTTAGTATTTTTCAGGTGTATTGTTGCCATCAAATTCTAGATGAGTAAACACCTTTCATGAAATAGTGAAATCTCTGACTTTCATTTTTCTTTGTGAAAAAATGATCAAATTCCGATTTTTATTTATTTGAGAATTTCAAATTTTTGCATTATTATCTTCAGGTTTTAATCAATTAGTTCATTTTGAACACCCATTAGCACAAATTCTTAATTAAGTCGCTTTATCTTTGCTGATGCAATTAACTTAAATGGGTTAACACACATGTTAAAAATGTGTTTATGTATTAATAGTTTTTCAATCTATTTGTCATGATCATGTATGCTCAGTTATGGGACTTTTGAGAGGCATTTGACAGGCACATATCATACAATGTTGTTTCTAAATGATTATGTATGATTGTGAAATGAAATACTGTCTCAACTTTCAACTGAATCGGGTATTTAAAGGTAATGGACCAAAATTTCTAAAAGACTCATGAAGATTTTCCAACCTATGAATTCCAGTCAAGATTTTTGACTTCCCAATGTTTAATTGTTTTACTATTCTGCTTCACCACGGTAAGGACAAAAGTTTCTTATTTTGTTTAAGGTTAGTCCATCTGTCATTAGGCTGTACCTGCTCATTCTTACTTTGAACCGAAACAATGTCAGTTCCTAAGGGGAACCCTGGTAAATATAGGGCTGGAGACAGAGTGCCCCCTGGACCGGAATCCAATCTGTTTAAGGTTAATCTGTTCCACAATTCCTATTAGGTCTGTCTTTGTTCTACACAAACACAGAGTATAGTCACATAAAGCATGCTGCATACATAGTATATGATACATAGAGTTTTTTATACGTCCATTACATATTAGGCTAAAACCATATGTAGCCTATTGAACACATTAATACATTTGAATTAGTGGTTCTAATTTCAAATTAAATGTAACATTTTCATTAAGATGGGTTACAAACATGGTGTTTCGTCTTTTTTTTATCATAACATTTTTTCTTTTAAATGGACGACTGACCAAATAACTCACAGACTTTGAAAATGAATCGTTGCCTTCAAATAACACAATGAGTGTTTGGAAGTTTGTCAACAGTTCGGAAACTTTCGGCTATTTCCGCCACGGCTTCGTGTTGCCTCCATTTTACTCTAGTTTGTATGTATGTGTGCGTGGTCTGGGTCTGTAACGAGAGAGGAAACAGGACCGGGAGCGGATACACTTTTAAATTGCTACAAAAATGGACGGGTAAGAATCTGTCAGCTATGCTAACTCCATTTAATTTGGCGTTCTGTGGGATAGAGTAGAACTCAGTCCGGGTGATTGTGGTGAATTTGTAAGAAAGCTAGGAAAACAACCACGAGCTTCAGTTTCTATAGCCACGCGCTCCGTTTTCGGTAAAGGAAGTGCATAACGTTAGCATGCTACTGGAATTTAGCCCATGCCAGTATGTTTACCTCAGTTACTGGTCGTCTTACCTTTTATTTTATAAAGCCTAGAAATGATTACATTGTTTTGGGGGGAAGTGTTCATAAAGTTTACAATTTGTACTATTGTGTTTTCCCACCATACAGTGTCGTTTGCCCTCCTGAAGTTTAGCAAACCACTGTGCTATACAGCCTTTGTCCAGTAGCTAACTAGCTCTAGCTGACAACAGAGCCAGAAGCTAGGATGGGTTTCCCCATAGGCAGAGCCCCCAATGAAGGCGAAATGTGTCTATCCTGTCCATTCATATTTTCCAGCATTGAAAGATAAACCACCTGATACAGGATTACACGACGTGTCCACCACTGTCCAGTCAGGCTGACCAGTCAGTCATTCAGTAGAGTTGAATCAAAAAGATGATTGCAACGTTGCTTTGAGATAATATTAAATCAGATGGGGAAATAATCATGTTTCCAATTAACGTTTGAGTTGTTTAGGAGCTTTCTATAAGGTGAAATGGTCACCTAAGCAGTATCACAGATTTTGGTCATTTAGACATAAAGTCATCCAATCTGCCTGTTTGGTTTCTTGTGAGAAGTCCCAACTTTGATCAAATGAAATATAATTTCTCTTTCAGCATCGGTGACGTTGCGGTTGGAGTAAAGGTGAGTTGCATCACAAACATATGTGGGCTTCCTTTATTATTATTGATATTTTTAGTGGTCTTTTGTAGCAACTGGACACGACCTAATGTGTTAGGTGTTGGATCACAATAAGATATTTAAGTTTATTGTGATGGATAAATAGTGATCGTCTGGAACAGGTGTAATTTAATACTAAAAGAAAATATGTAAATATAAACAATTTTTTTTTTTTAAATGGTTAAATTGAATTGGTGATAAAGTTGTACTATCCCTGGGTATGTGCAGTATATTGGATTTTTTATTTTTGCTGATTTCATTTGTGTAATCAAACATGTCCACACAGCCACCAGTTGGCTATCCCACCCTTCTTGTTAGCAGCGCTACGATTGGAAAACTGGCCCTGGGCGACACTAAACTAACCTTAGTGCCCACTCGGTTGGGGTTCCATCAGGGCTGAGGGAGTCACACGATTAGACGGCACCTCGGTCACACGACCCCGCCCATTTAAAAAATGTAACAGCAACAACAAAGACCCCATTTAATAGTTTCTGTGATCAGAAACGTTATCAGTGCCTGAATCATGAAACAACGCCGCTGTCCAACTCTGAAGTTTAGACTGTTTCTTTGTGCGTCTCTGACATAACAAAGCATTGTTTAACTTCATAGGATTATTGGTACTTAGCTAAAAAGAAACTGCTACAAAATGTTCTACTGGTATCTGTGCCGAGTGATCACGAACCTTAATGATACCAAATGTTTAAAGAAAATAGTTGAACTTGTTTCACTTACCCCTATCATATAGCCCATAAGTAACAAAAAAGGTAATGATTCTATTACATCCCAGTTTTAAAATGATTTGCATAGTGCTGAACAAAATGAGGAAGATATTCTATTTCTGACAATGAAAATCACAGTTTGCTGCCTTTTGGGAAAATGATGTATTTTCCTTTTCTTAATTTGAAACATTTTGTGCCTCGAGTATCCTCAGTATAGGACGCATGAAGTGGCAGGTCATGAAGATCTGAGTTAGGTTAGGGCTGGAGTTGCTGGGAGATCAAACATGTGCTTTCCTTGTGGAAGCACATGTTGCTCCTCACATGATTTGTTGAGCGCCAGCTGCTGTACGCACAAAACAAAGTGAAAGTCCTCCCTCTATGGGAAACGAACGTGTCGTAAAACACTGATTCCTCTATTTATTTGATCAATATTTCAATGTCAAAGAGCAAACGGAGAGGGTTGCCAGCTGTTGGGGGATAAATAATTTCTCAGATTGTTGTATCTCATTCACTATGTGCTCACACTGCAGCCAGTCAGACAACTTTATTACCCTTTCAATTTATTTGTGTCATGTCTCTGTATCAGCCTCTGCAATGTCTAGTTTATCGTAACCATAAAGAATGTTGGTGACAGAAGAACAATTGGTTCAAATTCAGTCAGACAGAAACAAGGAGGGGGTGCACGGCGCTATTATAAAGTTGTGTGTGTAATGGGTCCCCTGCTGCCTCCCTCGTCATCCCATCAGTCAGGTTTAAGAGCAGAGGGCGCTGGGCAGCCTCGCAAAGCCTTTTGGGACCGAGTGTAGCTCAGGTTGAAATGACACTCCTTGACATCTTAAATTCAGCTAGATTAAACTCACACCAGCCGAGGAGGAGCCGGATCGCTTCGGCGCTGTGTTTCTGCCCTTTTCCACCAACTTCCCTGCCCTCTTTTTGTCCCCTTAAACTGTCCTCGGAGAGCTCTGTGCCGTTGTGGTGTTTGAGATGGACAAAATGGAAATGGTTCACCTGATTTCCTAACACGTCTCACAACTATGCCTGTTCTGTTTTTTTTTTTTCCAGAGAGGATCTGATGAGCTGAATATGTATAACAACAGCATGAGCGGTGAGTTCCTTCCAAGGGATTGATGGAATTTGCATGGAGCCATTTGATGGATGGTGGCAGAAAGCATTAAAACGGAATCAAAGGATTAATAGATGTTTGCAAAGTGAAATGGGCTGTGTGCGTCGGGCTGAGAGCTCTTTAGCGGCTGAATAACCTCCCGCTCGCCGGTAGGCGGGCACCCACATACGGCGTCACGTGACTGGAGCAGATCTTTGTGCCTCCTCGTTGTTTAGATCAGATCTGGAATATGTTAAAGAAACAAAAGACTAGTGTTGTCCTCCCCCCACCCGAGGACCTGCCTAAAAAGGGACACTGCTTGTATGAGTGCGGGTCAATGTCCAGGTAAAACCAACCGGGCAGGGATGGACAACAGATTGTTCCATCTTAATGTAAAAATGAGGCATTTCTGCACACAGAAGGGTCAGGGCATGTTCAGGATGATCTGGTAACGAAGCAAAATCCACCTCAGTGTGTAAACGTCAGTGAATTTATTTCATTTATTGATACGTTTTTAATGAAAAAGCTCTTGTTATTTGACCAACGTATTACAGGAGCTTTTCGAATGACATGAGTGAAACGACTTGTGCGTGGTGAGATAGTCTTCAGTCAAGTCTGGGCTGGTGATACAGCCCAGAACAAAATGTTCAAAAGTGCTTTAACTGATCAGAACATGTCTGGTTTGGTGGAGCGATCGTTTCACAGCTCCCCCACAAAATAAAAAAAAAACTCAAAGGGAACTTATTAGCAGGCTGTGCCAGTCTCCAGGAGTCATGTCTTTAACATCCTCTGAGACAGGAAGAGGGCTGAAATGTGCAGGTTGCAAAGGCTTTATTTATTTATTTATTTTTTAGCTGAATAGAACGCCTGTGGCATTAAGCAGTAGTTTAAAGGTCAGATATACCCTATTCCATCATTTTAAATGAGCAGTTTGTTGAAGAAACAACAAATAACCTAAAAGATTAGAATGAATGCACAATAGTGTCCCATTTACGCACAAACACTGTCCACTTATGGGAAAATGATCAGTAGTCACTTATAGCTATTTTAATACTAAAGTTGGGTTTGGTTCATATGTGAATTAAAGCAAGGTTTGTTATTTAAGTAGGTGAATTTAATGGGAACTTTCTGTGTTCACACTCTGATAACACCAACGCACGCTCAGCAGCTCCTTGGTTCTCCTCCAGTTGGGGCTCCTGTATGACCATCGAACCAAGGTTGCCATCACTCTCACGATTGTTAAATGAAATAATGCCTGTTTTTTTAGAATTGGTACTCTCGCCTGTACAATTGAGTGCTCTCGCGAATTAGACAGAATCCACTCTGCAGGCTTCCTCTTAGCAATCAAGCAGTCTCATTCCCAAAGCTGTTAAGGGGGCAAGCATCTCGACAAGGTACTTTGCAAGTTGAGTCGATATTCATTATTCAAACACTTCTTCGTGAAATCTAAAATGCTTTTTTTGACCAGTGCACTTGTCAGATATTCTTTAGTCCGTACATATTCTTTTTTTATTTCAAAATATTTCAATGAAAGTTTCCTGCTTTTATTGCCACCACATCAATTTTCAGCTGTTTCCATACGAATAACAAAATGTTCAGGTATTCAAACCAACCTGAAACGTGCCTTCATACTGACGGCAGGGATGGGATCGAAAACCATCAGGGGAAAGTTTGGCATGTGTTTGGTTTCTCAGAGCCTATCCCAGCTCTCACTCCAGCCCATCTCAGGGTACACAGAGACAAACGGGACAGAAAACTTTACGCTCGCCTCCCACAGCCAAGTCTGAGTCACGCATTAACCTAACGTATATGTTTTTGGACAGTGGGAGGAATGAGCAGACCCACACACAGCAGTTCCAACATTAGAAGTCTTTTGATAAGAGCTTTAGTAAGCCTTTCAGATGTAGACATTAGTTTTTCTCCCAACGTTACTAGCGGTGACACCGGGACAGTTGTGTGAACTATTTGACGAGCTTACGCTTCTCCACTTAGTTTTTGGACCTTCACAATCTCCTGAAAGCCCAAATGCCACCTAACTTTAAATATTTGTAACAGAACTTTATTCACTGTGGAAGCCTCTAATTCTGGTGATACAGACAGAATCATTGACTGTTATAGTGCAGCTAAATTGACCAGTTCTGCTCCTGTGTAAACATTTCAGATGGGGCTTCCAATGGTAACGACAGTAAGAAGCTGAGGGTGGAGGAGGCGGCGCCGTCGCGCGTGATCCACATCCGGAAGCTGCCCAACGAAGCCTCCGATGCTGAGGTCATCGCTCTGGGCCTGCCGTTTGGCAAAGTCACCAACATCCTGACTCTGAAGGGAAAGAACCAGGTGAGCGGGCTTCATCACGCAGCATCATCACCACAGATAAACCGAGATATGACCACAATAACTTTAGGAGAGAGGTCAGGTTTGCCTTTGCTGCCTTTTCAGGAGCCAGTTGTCGGCTTACATCTGACTTTTTCCTTTAAGTGCTCGGTGCACAATCGGCCTTGCTATCTAGAAGTGCATCTTAAATGTCCTCGCGGCCCCATAAAAGTTATCCACCAGCCTATTGTGCCTCTTTAGAGGGGGGCTGTTGGAGATACGTGGCCCTTGTCCCCTTGGATTCCTGTCAGATGCAACTGCTTTGTTCTCATCACAGCAGCTGTGTCGGTGTTTCACTAAACCTGACTGACAGTCGCCTTCTTAGTATTCAGACATGTGAGCTGCTCTGAAAATCGCTGCAGCCAGCCTTGTGGTGGATTGCAAATAATTCGGGTTTGGTGTATAATCGGAAGTGTTTTCTACATCTGGATAAGCACTTCTTGATAAGTCTTTTCTTCTTTTTGCTCCGCCTAGTGAACAGATCAACAGCCTCTCACTCGTCAGATGAATGTGTGTTGCCTTTACTGCCTCTCTGTGCTCTCTTTGTAGGCCTTCCTGGAGATGGGAACAGAGGAGGCAGCCGTCACTATGGTCAACTACTACAACACAGTACCTCCACATGTCCGCAACGCCCCCGTCTTTGTTCAGTACTCCAATCACAAAGAACTCAAAACTGATGCTAGCAACCAGGTTAGTCAGCTTTGACACAATCACCTGAAATATCATCTAAATGTTTTGTTTCCTGAAAGACCTGTTTGGTGAGCGCCCCTTTTATAAAGTAGTGAGAGATCCTGTTAGCGCCGGCTTAAGAATCAACTTGGTGCACCGAGCGAAAAGGCAGCTGACCAGGCTACCGGCTACTTCTGTTTGGACATTTGGTAACTGTTGTTGCTTGTAGGATTGCTCAGAAATTTGGACTTCCTCACACATTTATAGCATTTACATTCCCCCACAAATCATGTTGTGTACAAAGAAAAACCATAAGCATTTATTTTTTTCACCTATAAATACAAGAGAATACAGAGTATTAAAAGATCTCATAATGTGGGATGTTTGCAGGTTCTTAAAATTTGCAGTGATTTTATTTCATTTTTTTATTTTCTTGTGGCTGATTTTTTCTTTATTTATTCAACCAACTGTGTTGAAGAGCTGCATAAATGTAGTTGTCTTCTGAATATCGGAAATATAAAATGTGAAAAGAAACTCTTCCTTCACATCCTGCCGGTCAGCTGTGTGCCGTCATCCTGCTGTTGCCCTCACGACTGTCATTTGTCTGTTCAAATGTTGTGGTTTGGTCCTAATAGCTGCCATAATGACAGCAGTAGATGAGCCACCAGCGTGTTTCTGGTTTGCGTTGGAGGGGCGTGAACGTCTGCAGCTTCCAGGATTTACGGTCATTCTTAACTCTCAGGAAGGCCGTCTCTTTTAGAAATGAACTAATACCTCCAAAATCTCACCTGCCCATTTTAGGAGAACGGTCTTCATTGAAACCCAACGCTGATCTTTTCAGGCAAAGAGGACAGTGGCTTTGTAGTTCTACACAATATGAGGAAATAGCCTGTGCTATATCTCACCTGTATTAGACCCCTAAATGCACAGTAAATGGGCTTCCAAGATTTATGTGTTGCCAAAAGCCATATAGGCCACCTGCTGTGGTATTTGGCAGTTTTTTTCTGTTGCTCCTGCAAAATACGTGCATCCTTTTTCTTGTCGAGTAAAAGAGCAAATCGGACTGTGTGTTTGTCCGCAGCGGACTCAGGCGGTGCTGCAGGCGGTGTCGGCGGTCCAGGCCCAGAGCGCCGACGCTCAGGAGGTGGTGGCCGCAGCCTCCAGCCCAGTGCTGCGCATCATCATCGACAACATGTTCTACCCCGTGACGCTGGACGTCCTGCAGCAGGTAGGCGCCCCACCCACGCCGGGCGGCAGGCTTCTGACCGCCGGCTGCTTATTCTGCGTTTTCCAAATGTCGGCAGATATTCTCCAAGTTTGGAACGGTCATGAAGATAATCACCTTCACCAAGAACAATCAGTTCCAAGCTCTCCTGCAATTCAGCGACCCCGTCAATGCGCAGCACGCTAAACTGGTGAGAGGCTCCGTCCACTCCTTTCCGTTATCGTTTTCGTCCTTTGAAAGTACGGTCAGTGAGTGGGACTCCTCTCTTTTCTCCTGGCAGGCACTGGACGGTCAGAACATCTACAACTCATGCTGCACACTTCGCATCGACTTTTCTAAGTTGGTCAACCTAAACGTTAAGTACAACAACGATAAGAGCCGGGACTACACCCGCCCCGAGCTGCCGGCCGGGGACGGGCAGCCCAGCCTGGACCCCGCCGTGGCCGCCGCGCTCAGCAAAGAGTCCAACTCTCTGCTCGGTAAGATTCCAGGTACATCCCAATTTCTTCTTATTCTCCTTTATTTTGTTTCGCTTGATGTTGTGATGTCATTTGCTTAGAATCGTGGCCATAAAGTAGAGATCAGATGGACCAGTTTGCCTGGTTTTAGAACACCAGAATGGGTGAAATCACTTTTAGTGTTGACGTTAGTCAGTTTCATCCTCGCCCAGTGTTTAAATGCTCCGATTTTGACCAGCTCTGCTCTTCATTGCACGGTTTGTCTTATCTGCCTCCTGCCAGGAGCCCTGAACCCCCTGAGCGCCGCAGCGGCAGCTGCTGCTGCTGCAGGGAGGGTGGCCCTTGCTGGACAGGCAGTATCCAGCGGGGTTCTTCTTGTAAGCAACCTCAATGAGGAGGTTAGTAACAAACACAAATGCCAGTCAGTTGAAACATCCAAGACATAGTACGACTCCACCAGCATCCTAATTAATTTTCTTCTGTTGGGTTTTTCTGTTTGTGTTTCTTATTTACTGTCCTGTGTGAGCATTTTGTTGGACATTTCAACTGTGTTTGGTGTTTTCTCATTTGCTGGTCTTTTGTTTTAAGCCTTTCAATTTGGATAGTTCCTTTTTAATGAGTGAAAAGTTTTCCCGAACAGCATTATGCATAGTTTATTTGTTTCATTGTCTAATTTGACTCCATTCAAACAGTTCTTTGTCTGTCTGTTTTTCTCATTTCTTTCTCGATGTGAAAAGGTCCTCATGCTAACTTCTTCACCACACTTTAATCTAGCTACTTGAATGTTAGTTCCACAAAGATGCAGCTGCACTGAGACATAAGAGTCATGAACGGACCTCTCCTTCAGCACATTAGATGTGAGCTGATCCATATACGGATTCTCACACTGTGCCTGAACTCAGCGCTGTTGGGACAGCCAGGCACCACCCCACAGCCACTCAGATATTTTCCAAAGTGCTGGAGAGGAGTGTTGAGTGATCTCTCAACGAGGCCCTGCATTCCGCCAGTGGGCAGTGGCGGGAGGTGGGGTCAGGGGACAGAACAGTGTGAAACCAAGACAAACCGAACTACTCCACGTATCTGCCATCTCCTCTGGACACAGAGGCGACGTTACCATGTCGATGTCAGCACAGTCACACAACTGGCCACAAGAAGCAGTCTAGCTTAGCAGCAGGAGTAACCGGCAGCTTCCTCCCTCTATTCCAGTCTCTGCTTAGTCTCCGCTGACGCCATCTTTACCTCGGCAGATCTGGGTTGATCTGGTTTTTAAGTGAATTCACGGCTTTTGTGACCTTGGTACCGGTCCAGAGCTCCGAGTAGTTTCTCTGCGGCTTGGCAAAGCCTCCCATTTAGACCGAGCGCCAGGAAGAAATCACCACAGGAAGAACGGCGACTCTGATATTTGTTTTATTAACACCTCCACCACGCTTCATCGAAAAAACATAGACAGATTTATGTTGGCATGCAGTACGGTACTCACTTTGCAAACGTATGAACAGAACAGCATATTTGTCTTATACGTCCTATTCCACTAAACCTCATACATAAAACAGCAAGCCCGTCTTGACTTCTTATAACTCCATCCCATAGAGCTCTGCTCTCTGGATTTCACCTAACAGAAACACCAGCTTATAGACGTCCACATCATTCCTTTTGACCCATCTTGGAATTGAGAAACTTCCAAATCTTTCCTTTTTACCCATCCCTTCATCGTTGGCAGTGATGTGGCTAAATCAGAAAAGAATAAAAAACTAATTACGAGCCAAGCGAGAGAGAAGTATTTTCTTCAAAAATGGTCACACTTTGGAGTTCTCAATAAATGTTAGATCGGTTTAAAATGGAGTGCCGGCACCTGATGGTGTTCCTGAACTGATCCTTCAGCAATGAACTAGAAGTCTTGCTGCAGGCTCCATTTTTTCAAATGTATTTATCTTATGTTACTTTGCTGTTTCAGTTTTGTGGACTTGAACTCCATTTGGGAAGGCTAAGTTTATTCCCACAGTAGAGGGGGGAGGGGCATAACCTTCCTCTGTTTGCTCTAATATTCTGTCACTCCTCTCTGTCTATCAAACTGAATTTACTCTGCTAACGCTCTTCTGTTCTTCTGCTCCTCACCTCTCCTCAGCACATATGAAATACACATGGGATCATTCTCTTGTCTAAAAAATGGGACTCAGTCCTGGGAACAAATCCCTGCCCCGAAACGCTCGCTGGCCGCCTTTCACCCTTTTTTCTCTGATTTCTTTGTTTCTTATTTTTCTTTGTTGAAGGTGTGAAGTTTATATGGCATCTAATCTGTCTCACCTAATCTCTCTCTCTCTCCTCATTTTTTTGACTGCGAGTGAATGTGTCATGATGGAGGCGTGACAGTATCACAAAAGAGCTGATTCTGCGATACTGTCCTCAAGCTTTGTTTTAGGATGGGACAGATGTGAAGGCCCCATTCTTCAACACGGCTTTCACATCTACATTTGCATGTACTGCTTAAACAAACATGAACTGCACGGTCTCCTAAGTAGCCCCCCCCCCCCCCATCACCCCCCAGCCCTGTAGTCCTGTGGTAACAGTCCTCCCTGCTGAAATATTGTACATCTTTAGACTTTTTTGCTGCTGCATGATGTTGGTTTATCCCATGGTTCTGACTTTATATTGCTGATTTTCTTATGATTTTGTACTTTTGCCCCGTGCCTGTCCAGGGTGAAAGAGCTTTTTTTTGCTGCACTTGCTGAATTTAATCTAGAGAAAACATTTGATCCAAGCCATTATCTCTGACAAACTACCTGCATTATTCCAGTGTACTGACCTATATTTTATTTTTGTCCCTCCCCCCTCCTCGCTTTTGATTTATTTTTTATTTTTATTTTATTCTCTTTCCCTCAATTTGCATCTCTCATTCTCCCTGTCCATCTCCCCCACCCCCCCAACCCTTCTTCTATCCCACTTAAATGCTGTTTTTTTGTGAGGGTTGTTTTATTTGTATTGATTTTTATTTTATTTTAATTTTTTTTTAACCTTATATCACCCCTTCTTCCTTCTCTATTAACAAATCTCCCTGTAAACAAACCTCCCCTCCATAACTGAATCCTTCCATGACTCCTCCTCCACTGCCTGCTCCCCTCCTCCTCCATGACCCACCACCTCCATCACTCTTCGGGGGGAAAAACAAAAACAACCATCCCTCCTACCTACCTCCGTTCTGGATCGATCTGTCCATCTCTACCTCCGCTCCGCTCCGACTCTTCTACTCTCTACCTGTCTCACGCTGCTTGTTGCTCTTCTCTCCCTCTAAAGATGGTTACGCCCCAAAGTCTGTTTACCCTCTTCGGTATGTTATCGTTAGCTCTCTCTCCTCTCTGTCACACTTCCTTGTTTTTCTCACTTGAACCATTTTGTTCTGTTTGATTCTATTTTTGAGACATTTATTATTATTATCATTATTATTATTATTATTGTTGTTGTTGTTAGCTACCTTTGAATTGATTTAAGTCAGTGGCTTGTTAGCCAACCTGTAGAACACGTTGGCCCCCTGTTTCAGTTTGGATAAATGTTAACCTAAAATTCCTAATGTAGTGATCTGTTAGTGAGCAGTTAAACATGTGTTTGCATGTTGTTTTATTTCTAGCCATCTGACACAAACTGATACCCCACCTGTTTAAGGGGGGGCTCATTTCTCTTTTTCCTTTTCTATCTATACTCTCCTCACTCTTTAGCCTACTGTTATCTCCTGTGTTTGTTTTCTGCTGCTCTCTCGTCTGTTTCTAACTGTCTGTTGCCTCGAGCTAACTTTGGATTTTCTAACTGTCTGCTTTCTCTCCACCTCACCTCCACTCAACCCGCCCGCCTGTGGCTCTAATGCAGGAGTGTACGGTGATGTCCAGAGGGTGAAGATCCTTTACAATAAGAAGGACAGCGCTCTCATTCAGATGTCTGACTCCAATCAGGCCCAGCTGGGTGAGCAGAGTCCTTCCTTCCTCAGAGACTCGGGTCAATATGTTCTGGTGATTGTAGTGCTTCGATTCTTCTCCTTGTACTTAAAGGCAAGAGCCGCTGTTGTGATTTCCTCATATTTTCTTACCGGGAAAACACAAGGAGACGGTTACTTTTGAAGAGTAAAATCTGACGTAATCCCCGAGGCACCCAGGTAGCAGCACTAACCGGTATTAAATAATCAGTCAGAATCTCAGTCACAGTCATAAGGTCTATCTCTTTGATGCCCACTGTCAAACCCGGTAATCACTGCTGTGAAAAGCCAAGTTGATGGGAAGAAAGTTTGACTTTTTCCCAGTGCGATCAGGCCAGAGAGCCATCATTTACTGAGGTGAAATAGTTCTATTAGGAGGATTCACTCGCTGACCTTTTTCTGCTTCATCCCGGGAAAAAGCAATGAGCCATCTGAACGGCCAAAAGATGTACGGGAAGATAATCCGCGTGACGCTGTCCAAGCACCAGACGGTGGCGCTGCCCCGGGACGGCCTGGACGACCAGGGCCTGACCAAGGACTACGCCAGCTCCTCTCTCCACCGCTTCAAAAAGCCGGGCTCCAAGAACTTCCAGAACATCTTCCCGCCCTCTGCTACTCTTCACCTTTCCAATATCCCGTAAGTACTTTGCAGCAGGGGAGCAGATAGAGATTGTGCTGGAAATATCCACTCTAAAGAGTAAAAGATGTGATCGGATAGCATCCATACCGAGCGCCTGTAAGAGAGGAACCAGAGCCTCCCACAGGGAGAGCAACTCAAATCTTTTAGCTGGTTATTAAGCTGACGCAGTTAAGAAAAACAACTCTTTTATGGTCATAACGAATTACCAGAATATCACTGAAATGGTTGTTGAAATGATAAAAAGTTACAATGACAATGAAAGTTAAGAATATAAATTTATGGAGGTAGTGGGCTGAAGAAGACTCTGCCTCTCCCAAAAATGAGCTAACATCGTGGGCTCATTGAAACGGAGTCATGGTAGACAGTCGGTGCTTCAGTTGGTCCAGCAGCCGCCCATGACCACCAGCATACAGAGTGGACATTAGCAGGGCTTTTTATGTAGGTACTAAAAACTCCTTTTCCGTTTCATTTTCCAAAGCCTGAGTGTCTGGGTAGATTAGGGAACCACATAAGCTGAGGTGTGCCTCTTCACCCCATCTTTTCTGCGGAAGTATGAGAACACTGAGGCGGTTTTCTTCTCTCTTTTTGGGGTCTTTACATACGATCGGCTGAAATATTCTGAGTTTAAGTATGTGTCACTGAGCCATACCGCCATATTTGGTTTGCTGGGACGTGTACTCATATTTGAAATCGGAGGCAGGCCGTTCATCACTCTACCTTCAGCCCCGCCTGGTTCCAGTTGGAGGTTTCTTTCCCTCTGGAGCTTCAGTGCTGAGATGAAGCGAGACTTTATATCCTAAACGTTCCTTCTGTTCCACAGACAAGACGTGACGGAGGACGATCTCCGGCTGCTCTTCTCCAACACGGGGGGAACTGTGAAGGCATTCAAGTTTTTTCAGTATGTAGACCCAATCTTTTTTTAATTAGCCAACTTGTGTTTAGCTAGTGCATGTGAGCCAGAACAGCTTTCATATCTACCCTGTGGCCGAGCCGTGGTATTCACTGTTTGTTGTACCTTCCAGGGATCGCAAAATGGCTCTGATCCAAATGTCAACTGTGGAAGAGGCCATCCAAGCTTTGATTGACCTTCATAATTACAACATGGGAAATAACCAGCACCTGAGAGTTTCCTTCTCAAAGTCCACCATTTAGAATGTAACACACTGACTCTTGGCTTTAACGGTTTACCCTAAGAAGAAGAGCGGGGAGAGTACGTAGACTCAGACGTTTTGTTCATTCTGCCATTCCTTTAGAGAGACTGAAACCTTTGATTTGCATTCTTTTTTCAAAAGAGAACAATACTGGATCTCCAGCTTTTAACTGTACCTCCATACTTTCATACCAAGCAGATGGTCGACTTGACTTGTCCCCTCGTATGACAATGTTGCATATATCAGTGTTTTAATTCTCGAAATAGTTGACGAAACATTGTACTCATGTGCCTTACTTGACAATATCAACTGTTTCTACAGCTGGACATGTTCATTAAGCGCCTCCCTGATGGGGCCCATTAGCACGGGATAATTTGGGGGGGTCAGCAGGAACACAGGTTGCTTTGTCATCATTTAAGCATTGCTACATTTATTTGAAGCTGTGCCACTGAGCAGCTGCAGCTTTGTTTGGTTCAGAACATTAACTTTTGGAGTTCCGCAGCAGGAGCGGAGCCTGTTCCTGAGGCTACGTGTTAGCGACTTTACAGCAGCCCGTGACTGCCATTCCAACTCCCACTCCATTATTCCACAGGGATGCTGCCACATTGTTTCCCCTCCCTTTTCACTTCACAATCCCTGCACAAGATTAATGATCAGAATGCAGCTCGTCGCAATGTTTTCCTCTGTTTCTGAGGCGGTCCTTGCCTTTTCCCTCGCAGTGAAGTGTAATTGTCAGTGACTGTGTCTTTGAGGCATGCATAGTGATGATAGCAAGTCCGACCAGAAAGTATTGCATGCTGTGGAAGACGTTAAAGTAGGAGCCCACTGTGATTTTATTGTTATGTAACAGTTTACTATAGAGAGGGCTATTCAGTTGGACCAAAGTTTCTGTGCCTTTTAGTATTTCTTCTTCATTTTAACTTGGGGGGGATCAAAACTTTACAGTGGAATTTTGAGGAAATGTGCGAGAAAACTTTACCTACAAGTTGGGTACCTTATGTTATTTTATACTTTGCAAGTCCTGGCATTTGGTCGGAAATAAAAAAGATGTAATTTCCTTTTTTTTTTTTTTCTTCCAAGCTCTATTTTATTAAGCTTCGATCTGTAAGGATTTGGTGTTCTGACGAGGCACGATTAAAAGCGGAGGTGGTTTCTAACGCAGGGAGGCGCGACTCGGTTTCCTGTTTTTCTTTCTTTCCCTCATAGTCTGTGTATTCCGCTTTACTTCTGTGGCATGCCTAATAAAACTCTTCTGTTGCTCTGCATTCACCCCTTCTTTTATCCTCTCAGTTCTGTCTGCTCCCTCCTGAAGCTCTGCTCAGTCCCAGGGTGGGACGGATGCCAAAATCTATTTTGGAGCCACTTATTAGACAAGTTCTAATAAACCAGATTGAGTCTTGTGATGGTACTAATTCACAGGACAAGAAGTACGTTTTCCCACCCTGCCAACTGACACGATCTATTCCTCTGATGTCTTGCTCTTCTTTCCTCTAGTAATAACCTCTTTTCGAATCAGTCTCTGAGGGCCAACGTTCTCCGGGCTGTTTGTGATTTATCGCTCTCATACGTTCTATCAGTTGCATGAATTGACTTGGTATCATTTTCCCATTCTTTGTGCTCCTTTTTATGCCCCTGCCATCTTTTCAGCACCGAAAAAAAAAAAAGAAAACCATACCGATTTAATTTAGGATGATTTCATTTAAAGTGCCACACTCTGAAGTGTCACTACATTGAAACCCACTGAGCATCCAGACATTTCTGTACAGGCTCCATCAGGCTGAATCCTATCCCAGCATTTATCTTATCAGTGTTCTTTTCACACACGGCAGCTCAATGCTGCTGACTTTACTTAGTTTATTTTCTCTCACTCCCCTGAATTTCAACAGGAGAACATTTAAAGAACAGAAAAACCAGAGTGGATGCCTTTTCTGCCGCTGTGTGTAAATGAGCTGAATATGAGATGGGCTGTTGCATAAATGCTCCTAAACAAGACGGAGAGGGATTTTGTTTCTCCGTTATGATTTTAGAGACGTGGCCGTGGTCATCTTACTTTCGGACAATCATTTTAGGCGATGGCCTTCTTTCTTGCATGTTCTGCCCGTGTCTGCGTGGGTTTCCTGGGTACTTCAGTTTCCTCCATCCAAAAACACGTATGTTAGGATAACTGAAAACTGTAAAGGATGGGCCAGGACAGGCTTCAGTCCCCTTACTTGGAATAAGCGCTATAGATAATGCATATTAAAGGCCACCTAAAGGATAAAAGTTCCACTTTCCAAAGAGTAGAGTGGAGACTCTAAAAGGGAAATGAGAATATCAAATAAACCAAACTGACTTGTACACTGTCAGGATGTACAAACAGTTTAACATATACGGTACATTCAGCATGTGGCAGCAGAATCTTAGTCTATATAGTGTGGTGTGCCAAACGAAAAGTCAAGCTTCCTCCTTTGACTTTCCATTACTGCTTATTTATTTATTTTTGTTGCAGTACTTTACATGTAATAAGTCCTTCTAACCATAACCCGAGGTCAGGAAAAGAAACCAGGGAAAGAAAACGAAACAAGATAACATGGAAAGAGATCCTTGTAGAAAAAAGATGACAAAAACATACAACCATTTGCCACATTTATAGAAAACCGAACATTCAACAGCCTCCATGAGAACCAGTCAGAAAACCACCAGGAGCACCTACAAGCAAAGAGGAGAGAAAACAGCAATAACAAAAAGCACAGGCAGTGACGACACAAGCAGCAAGGATACACAACAAACCCCACCGAGCTACACAACAGCATGTGACGGTAAACCTGTGTGTGTGTGTGTGTGCATAGACATGCAGAACAAAGATACCTATGGATATATCTGTGTAAAAATGGCATTATTACTTTAAGTTGTCCTGTGGATAACAAACCATCCATCTACCCTTTTGTGATACTTTCTACCTGCTTTTTTTAGTTCATTCCAAATAGTTGGGCATGCAAAAGTAAATCAGTGTACGTTTGCTATGTTTCTGATTATTTTCTATGTAGTTGATTATCTGTATGTTGGACTTTGAGTCAGTTATCAACTTTCACCAGTCCGTCCTCATTCATGCTCCATTGCTTCCCTCATAGGTGAACTGATGTGTGATGGTTTACACTGTGTTCTCCCATTTGTCAGCTCTAGCTTGGTTTTAAACCCTTTATTAAACCCCCCCCTCCAAAACCAGGAATTAGATTAAGAGGGCATGGGAAATGAATGGATGTGCAACTTTACGGAGCTGAGTAATGCAATTAATGGGCAAAAACATATGAATTCTAAATAGTTGGTTTATGATTAAAACAACGTGTTGACATGATCCTACACTCTGCACACCGGTCACCTTAACCTGAGCAAAGCCTGAATGATCCGGACTCCTGCCGGGAGCTCAGGGCTGTGACACAGCAGCCGTTCACTCGTTTGATTGTTCCAGTTAGTCTTAATCAAAGCAAATGTGCGAGCTAAAGCTAATCCAGAACAGGTCATTTCTGTAGAATACCTTCCTGACTGACATTATCCATCACACCGCTTTAGCTCGTCCTGATGAGTAGAAGTTATTTCAATTATTGATTGTGCAAAATTGAAAATCCTTCTTGAAATGAAACTAATAACTCAGACCGGTGATTTTTGACAGTTATATTAATATTGCACATACCAAAGGATTGTCAATACGCCTCAACCCCTGACGAAAGAAATTCATCAGGAATATGTTCTAAAATACCGGGCAATGCATTTAAACAAATGTTTTGCACATGGAATGAAAAAAAGGATTTTTTATTTGCAATGCTTTGCTTGTTAGTCTCCAGATGAATTCTGCTGGTTCTTTTGATAGTCACACATTTAGACGCTACAAAAGCTACATCCATATTTTCCCTTTTCATGCCAAAATATTTGTTTTTGATTTTTTTTAAAGGTAAAAATGAATAATTTGTCGGATAACATGTTTACAGGGTAACTTTCTGCCTCTGAGGAAATGTCTTATGACTTTATTGTAATTACTGAAGGAAGACCACCATAGTGAGGCTTATAAGTAATCTGAGAGAAATATTAGCATAGAAGTTTGACAAGTACAAACCCCCCGCTGTAAAGTAGGCTGTCATGAAATTATAGGCCAGTTACCGAAGAGGCTAGAGTGGTAGGAATGGTTTATACTGGTGCAAAACTACACTGGGTCTATTTTGTTGTTTTTGTGCGCCGCATATTTTCTGCTAACCACGATAGAAGCACAAGGATGAGCCAGTTAGCAGATTTCCTCACAGGCTGTCTGAAGCATGCTTTACTGTCTGCGACTATCGGCAGTTCTGGCAAACGCGGCCCCAATATTGTTATCCAAGTTGCCAAGTTTTGATTCCTCAAGTCGGAGCAAAAATTCTCAGCATGTGGAATCTGATAACAAAGACCGACGCAACCTGCAAACAACTGTTGGACTGCGGTTGAACCTAAAATGATTACGGTCAAACACAAAGCTGCAGTTTACGCCTGAAGCCCAGCTCCTAATGGCTGGAAATGACAGAGCTGCTGCCAATATGTGGATATAAGCAAGTGTTGCTACGGCGGGGACCGGGCCTGGAGGCATGATGGACGTCCTGTCAGGATCTGTCTGATGAAGATGGCGCTCCACACTCAGGCCCTGGGACCGGGCATATGACCTGATCCATCATCGCACACACGCGCACTGGCACTCCACCCAGAGCAGCGGGCTCTTACCCCACAAGCCCTCAGTGGAAGCGCTCGCATCCCAGATCCCGGCCTCTAAACAAAGATGACATGATGTATCAAAGGGAAGAGCCCGGGCTAATCAATAGGTAGTCTGGCCAATGCATCACCGGGGCGGGACACTCTGATCCCACTCTCCATCACTCTGCTCACAGACCAGGGCTTTCTCAGGGGTGCAGCTCCCTCCTGGGTCTCCACACCTCTCTGATAAGCCCTTAGAGCTGGAAGTAAATAATTGCTAAATGCACTTAGAGCTAAACTGTGTAGGGATGAGAGATCTTCAGATTACCAAGTTCTTATGACTTACCTCATTTTTGTTGCTAATGTTGTAAATAAGAATTTTAACTACTTAAAAAGAGTTTATGGCATTGATGAGATTGTATCATTTAAACCTACTTTTATTAAACATGTGACAAACACATGGAAAACATGTTTAATTCACCAGTGTGGATATGAGATATTCATTTTCCTATATCCAAGGATTATCTGTTTCCATTTTTTCTGTTTTCTTTAAAACCTAAAAGCCTGATCCAAGAATAAAACAAAACAGAAAATTACTTTTTTTTTGGTTTGAAGTCTTTATTTGGCCTTTTAACGAAATATGTAAAAATAAAAAACAGAAATACATTTTTTATATTAATATATTATTACTATGCGATAAGTCAAGATTATGTTTTGTGTAGTCTTCTGCCCCCTGTTATCAGGTGTATCTGATTGTGTACAATAAGATTTTGAGCAAAGTTTTTAAGATTAAATTATGCAAAAGGTGTCCGACGCAAAACATTCCAGTAACCGTATGAATCAAATATGATACATTTGGCTTTACAGAGTTAAGGTTAGGATCACAAAATACTTGTAACGGCACCTTTTTTATGGGAAAGAAACCAAAAATATACACAGATTTCTTTACAATTGCAGATGTTGAGGGCACATATGTCACACAAATATACTATTTATATATTATATCAATAAGAAAAAAATAAAGTATGTGAAATAGGAAATGTTCTGTCACCATATTCAATGTTAAGGATCTAATTTCTTTCTCCCAACGTTTATGTCTGTTATGTGAAAGTGCTACGAGCCCCGGCTCAGACTGTAACGTGTACGAGTACTACCTCCATACAGCCATTTCCCGTCTGAATTCAGGACGGGGTAGGATGAGTTGTACCTGATTGGTTGGTATTGGTTTCTGTCTCCTGTCTCTGGTGGGGTTATTGATGTTGGCAGAAATTGATGGTGATAGGTAGAGTTACTACTACTGATCCAGTATTCAGGTATCATCTCTCCCTCTTAGACCAATAATCGCATTGTCTGTTTGTTTTTTTAAAGAAATATTTTTATTACT